AGGTATACCAGCTACTTCCATGTCATAAAGGCTTAGTCATGTCTCTTGACCAAGCAATGAGCTGGTCCCCTGACAATGAAGTACTCACTGGCCATTAGCCACCCAATGCTGAGCCCCCCAAATGTTCACAATGTCCAGGTTACTGAACTCACCATGGTGCAGTCAGGAACAAGACACTGGCCTGCAACACAATGGTTGAGGACATCCTGGCCATTGCTGAGAGTAAGGCTGTGCAGATCATTAGCAGGGGCACAGTCTGAACAGTGCTTGACATACCAGATGAAGGGCAGATTGAGCAGTACAGCATCATCATTGACCAACTCTGTATAGGAGATGATCTGCATGGTGATGTCATCATTGAGGTACTCAGCAGTGAGGGCTCCTCAAGCAAGCCCTCTCAGTGCATCACATGTCAGTAGATCAGCCATAGGAAACAGAAGTCAAGCAGAGAGGGCGAGTAGAAGTGGTGGAGTTGATGTTGGGATGGTGGGAGGTTGACAAGGAGCATGTGTGTACACAATGCATACACATGCCCACCATGGGGCATGTGGCACAGCCTCCGCGTGACCAGCAGGAACAAATCCGTCATGTGATCACCCAGATTTAGGAATTTGCATCCCTTGGATGCGCAGCCTGCGGGAAAGGGATGACCCTGACCCATTTGTTTCCGGCTTCTCGAAATGGATGCAAATCTGCGTATCTACGTATCTAGGGGCTACGGGATGTCATCCACTGACTGGTATTCGCACCATTTAAAAAGCACCCCCTTCACTGACCGTAACCAGTACTTCCCGAACCAGTACCATCTCCCCGAACTCGGGAAACAGTCGTCCTCTTTCCTCTTCCACGAACTTCAGCACCGACCTGGGCTGATTTCGTGATCGAAACAGCCATGACATGATCTTCCTCGTCTTCTGCGGTTGTGTCCCCACCGCTCCACGTTAGGACGGAGGAAAACTAACCGAAAACATCGCAAATCTATTGGCGTAAACTGCAATGTTACAAATAGCCCGGGGTGGCGGGGTCATGCGCTTTCCAGATCCGATGACTAAATATATTCATGATCGAGTAGGCAGGGTCGATCAGCAGTGCTACATTAAGTACTGTTTACATTTGCCCGTTTGCGGTTCAGAATCTCAGGCTCTGTTGCTATGCTTCATTCCTTCTTTTGAATGTATGCGCTGGGTGACCCATACTCAGAGCTATAAAAAGGACCGTCATCCCAGGTTTTGGGCGGCAGCAAGTCACAACACACACACCTTTCCAAGACTTTTGTGCTGGTCACATCTGTCTTCCACCCCATCTTCCAGTCACAACACACACACCTTTCCAAGACTTTTGTGCTGGTCACATCTGTCTTCCACCCCATCTTCCGCCCTTCAGAAACCATTCCACACTTTATATCTATCTCTTCCACAATTTTTCTCATGCGTCTTACATCGACGGTCTTCCTTGCACTCATCTCGGTACCGATCTTCGCACGTCCGATCCCGGAAACCTTTGACGAGGAGTATCTCATGTTAGTCATATGTTGATTGTAGGCAAGGCGCCCCTCATTGACTTTGAATGCAGCCAGAGAATGGAACCTAATCAACATCCCATTCCGAGTCAACAACCTATTCCTATTCAAGATCTTCCTGCTCGCCGACCTGATCCTCTTGTCCAACCTCATCTACCTCCACCTATTCAACATGCGGCTCATCAAATGTCGGCCAGCCATATCTCATGGGTTAATGGCGAGGTTTACACAAACATTCGTGAGCACAAAGTGCTGGAAGGGGTGGAAGGGCACGTGAAGGACGCCGCGAAACGTGTTGAAGCCGGTCGGGAACTTGTAGAGACTACTGGTCGTGCTGCGATATCGTCGCAAGCAAAACTTGATCACTGGATGGGGAGTGGTGGCGAGCTCCATGAGCCTGGTTCGATGCCTGGAGATGGAGGTCAGCTCAGGCAGGACAGGGATGAGAAGGTTTTCCAGCATAAGGGTGCCGTGCAAGAATATCCTGAGTTGAAGAGCGCCCATAGCGCACTAGTGACACATGCAGATTTGCTTTCCCCAGTGATGCAACAAGTCACAAGAAAGGGGGACCAGCTTCACGGCAAACTACTCCACGTGAAAAGAACCCATCAAGAAGCCTTGCGGATGCAATTGATTCAGGACCACGAGTCAGCTGCCAAACTTGTACAGGATATGCGCCAACAGAAGGCGGGGTTGTCAGTGGCAAACACCACGCAAAAGCGGAGGGCGGAACATCATTTGGAAGCAGGCATTCTACTAAATGAACAGAAGGCTAGGAACAGCGCAATAAACGCACATAACGTGCACGACCAGTTGATCAATACCATCAACGAACAGCACCACTATAACAAGTACATGAGCAACCCCGGATCCACCAGCGAGCAAGTTATAACCAACCCCAATCAGCCGGAGCACAAGACGAATGGATAGACTTTGTGAATACTGTCGAGTTAATGTTTTATGAGAAGAGAGTGCGGCATGGCGTAATTCCTGTGTGCGTCTGAATGGGCTGACCGGAGGAGGGAAGCGGCCACTCCCGTGCCCTTGTAAAGCCCATGTAGTTCCCTCATTTCCTCAAACCTCTTCTCCCACTCCTCCCTCCCCACGCCAACCTAGTACTCCTTCCATCTGTGAGGGCCCCTCCCCATGCCGTCTTTCTCCAGGTCGATCTTCCCCTCTGGGCCAGAGCTTACAAGTCGACATTAAGCGTCTCACACCCACTACAATCGACTTCGACCTCGTAGGGACAGACGCAGCGATCGCCGACGCCCTCCCAAAAGTCATGACCGAGGAGGTGGAAACGATTGCAGTGGAGAATGTGTGGGTTTGGCAGAACACAAGCGTGTCATGCAGGATGAAGTGCTGGCGAGTAGGCCGGGGCTGGTACCTTTGAGGATCAACCCGGCGAGGCTTGAGAGCTGGACTCGTGCGCACAATTCCCTACCCCCATGCTCATTGCTGACAGAGTATGCGCGCTCACAGCGAACGCTGTTCCAGCCGATGCAAACACCATCTCTTTCGAAGTACAAGTTACTTGTACCAGCCGTCCCTTTCTGCTAAGAGGGAGCACCGACCCCTCAGAGCTGTACGAAAACTCGTCCATCTACTGTACGCCTCCCACCTCCGGTGGAAGCCTGTTGGTGCGCAAGCAGCACTTCCAGACTACCTCGCCGAAGCCCCTTCTGTCGCAAAACCCGATATAATTCTCGTCAAGCTTCGCCGGGGGCAGGAACTCAACATCGAGATGCACTGCGTCAAGAGCTGCGGGAGAGACCATGCGAAGTACAGTCCGGTCGCTACTGCAACGTCCCGTCTGTTGCCATATGTTCGAATCTTCAAATCAATACCAGAGCAGCTGCAAGCGAAGTTTACGCAGAGCTTCTCCCCCGGTGTTATCGGGAGCAGAAGGAATAAGCAATGGGAATGGGAAGTGTTCGTCAAGGATGCGAGGAAGGATACGATGAGCAGGAACGTCTTCCTTTATCCCGAGTTTGAGGGTGCGGTCAAACTCACTCGAGTGAGGGATCGTTTCCTGTGTACGTCCCACATCCCGCTTCTCTCTCTCAGGCATCTAACGTGTTGCAGTCACGGTCGAGTCAGCAGGGCAAATGGCACCCAACGCCATCCTTCCAGAAGCCATTGCCGTCTTCACGCGAAAGTTGAGAACCGTGTCAAAAGCACTCGACGAGCTCATGCATGAGGATGTAGAGCCAGAGGTGCAGGAGGGGGGATGGAGCTTGGCGCTTAGTGTTGGGCGGGATGGTTGTACTAATACAATACTGTGTTATTAATTTCATCGATCTGTGCTTGGGATGCTCTGATCAGGAAGATCCGTACCTAAATTGGTGATCAAAGAGTCTTTGGCGATGTTTCTAGGGAGAGCTCACAACATGATCATTGAGGATATCATGAGTTTCATACTAATGATATGGCGAGATTAAACACAAGCACCAGAGTTCTAGTGCATAACTTTTACGAGGGCACGCTTCCCTAGTTGTCCACCATCTCCGATGCACCCTCTCTCGCCTATCTTCCAATGAGCGTCAAGCCACGCGGTTTGAATATTGCTTACCTTCTCGATCACTGCCTTGCGTCTCTCCCTCGCCCTCCGCTGGAGTTTCACCCACTTGCCCAACGGGCTCTCGGGAACCCCAATAGCCGCTTCGAACCTCTCTACTTCCGCCGTATCCGCCGGACCGAATACTACTCCCAAACGTCGTTTCTCGACCCACTTTGCGTGCTCCTCCAGACGCTCTACAAGCGGCTTGAGAGTAGTTGCGAGCTTGACACTGCTGGACCTTTTCAGCATCCGCCGGACGAGGATCGTCACTGGCACAGCAAGCTCGGGGAAAGCTATGCTCTGCGCACACGTCTCGAACCATTCTCCGAGCAGGTAGGCGCTTTCCTCCGCAAGGGCATCTTGGTACAGTCTGGTGCGGACATACGGTGCTGGGACGCGGATAAAGGCTTCCAGGTCGAGCGGACGCTGGGTTGAGGGCTTGGGCTTGTGCGAGAACTCGGATGATGTGAGGATTTGCAGGATGAAGGGAGAGAGGGGGATGAACACCCCCGTGTGGCGGATCAGGTGAAGGAGGGAACGGACGCAGTGGAGATGCAGTGGGAAATAGCGGGGTGTTGGAATCAGTCTACGTCCGTTAGATATAGCTGAAGGGACCTGAAAGGGAAACTTACTTGATCGCCCCGATCGTCACTTGCACCAAAGGGTATATGAGTGGATGTAGTGCGCTCTCTCCCAGTGCATCCCGATCACACGCCTTGGCGAGGACACCAGCCCAAAAGTCGAGCGAGTGCACATATTGCCAGTTATAGACAGCCTTGTATGCCTCCTTGCTCTTGACTTTCATACTTTCCCTGAGGTGGACGGCGAGCTGGCGGATATAACGGAATGCGTGCTGATACGCCGCCTCGTGGTCGAGGATGTACAGCTCCATAGCAGAGTTCTTCATCAGGTTGATCGAGGGCAGGGTGTGCACCGTCGTTACCCGGGAAGAGCGGACGAGAGAGACATAAGTCCCTTTCAGGCAAATGTCGAGTATACTCTGGTCGGGACTAGCCGCGAGTCGCCGAATAGCGAGGAGCGCAGTCAGGCGCACGTCATCGAACCCGCTAGACCAGACGTCGAGCAGCTGCTTGAGGTAGTCCTTGACGACTTTCCGGGAAGAGACGATGTATGGGATCACTTTCGTCGACTCGGATAGGACGAGGAGCTTCATGTCGCCGTCTGGGAGCTGGGAGAGGAGGTGAAGGACGTTACTGAAGAAAGAGAGAATCATCTTCTGCAGGGTGGAGTATTTCTTCGTCTGTGCGGGAGGTTTGCTGGGAACATTAGTTGAAATCTTAGACTAGGTGGGAAGCACGCACTAGCGTCCGTCGGGAAGAGTTTTGTAAGGTAAATGATGAGAAAGGACGATCGACGTGTACTTCAAGGCAGTAACAACGAGCTTGTTATATACTGCACCGGGTCAGCGGAAGGTAAGAAGGGAGGGAACGACGAACCGGCCGAGCTGCCTATGGAGTACGCATATTGCGTCCCATCTTCTTCATTCATATGTACCGCGGCACGGAATGCGAGTAGAAGGCCTCTGAGAGAACGCAGCGAATGGTGCTGTGTAGGTGTGAGCTACGTGAGAACACGCATGGGAGAATCATACCTCGAGGATGGACCTCTGCCACGCGCGTAGCATCTCCTTCGTCACCTCTTTCGCAGTGGAAGGAACGGCGATCTCATCCTCTTCTTCTTCCATCGCGATCTCTGCTTCGTCCACTTCCACGTCCACATCTTCAGCATCCTTCATCTCCTCAGGCTCGTTGCCGAACTCCAGCAGCTCCTTGTCGTTCTCCTGCAAGTATTTGTAGAATTCGGGATCCACCTCTTTCAATCTCTCCAAATCCATCTTGTGTGCCTCTTCGTCTGCGTCTAGATCGTCTACAGAGGCAAATGACTCGTTGTCGTCCACTGCGCTGCTGTTGTCGTCCTCTTCTTCTGAGTCGCCATCGTCCATAAACTCACCACCAAGTAGGTCGTCCACGGTCATTTCATTCGGTCTGCTAGGCATTAGCATTGCTCTCTGCATGTGTTAATTCCGTACTGGTCATTATCCTCTGCCTCTTGAGCCTTATCCTCGTCAACAGCTTTTGCTGTCTTCTTCTCCTCTGCCCGTTTCCCCTTCCCTCTGCGTTTCTCAATCTGCTGCTTAACCTTCTTATGATTGTGCCTCTGCTCGATCTGCTGCTTGAGTTTTCCAGAAGAGATGAACCTCTTTGTGGCCTTTGCAGTTTTTGCCATAGTGTTCTTAGCAGTAAACATGGTCAGGGTTCGACGAAATTTCCCCCCAGTCCCTGTGGCTGTGACGCACGTGCCGTCAGGGTCTGAGTGCCTGATTATGAGCGCCCACTTGGTCAACGCCACGTGCACCGCTGTTCACTTTCAACCGCCAAGCTCTTGTACACGTATGTATGTGCTAGTCCTTTCCTTGCAACTTTTAATTCGAACGACCACTGAACTTCTAATTTGATAGAATTCTCTTCTTAATTTTCAACAATGGCACACCCGGTTCCTCCAGCAGGCGTCGCCGTCCCAGGTGCAGCCGTCGACGCTTCAGAAGGACTCATAGTCAAGATACGCAAATTTGAGCAGAAGGATATCAAAGAAGTTCGCTTGCTCTTGGGCTATTCGACTATGGAGCAGCTCGCGCTTGCCAATACTCTACGTACGTTCTCAATTCTTGCCCTGCCTTTTCCCAACCACCCGCTTATTGAGTGCAGTGTACACCAACCCTTTCGTCATCGCTGCATGGCTTGGACTGTCGAGCGTCATGGTGACACTCATGAAATGGTGGCCTGTAGTAAACGGCCCCCTGTGGACCTGGCTCATGCCCCTCCCTGCGCTCGCAAGCTGCGCCGTTCCAATCTTATTCGTGATCGACTGGTGCATTCCCGTTCCCAACCATACCCCTCCAGTGCTGGGGCTTGATCGTTAGAACTGACGTCCTCACAGGCTCAACCGAGCAGTCTTCGAGCACCTTACCCGACTCTCCCTCTCACGGGAAGACACTCTGGACATCACTTCCTACTACAACAACCCGTCTTCTCCCGGCACCGCTTTCTGGGTCCTGATATACAAGAACAACCCCATCGGCGTCGCTGCCACTGATGCGTTCAAGCCTACTGAGGAGCTGAGGGGACTTGATGATATTCTGAAGGAGGCAGAGGCAGAGGTGGAGAAGGAACATGGCAAGGGGCCGGCAAAGAAACCCGCCAAGACGAAAGCGGAGAAAGAGGCGCAGAAGGAAGAACATGACAAGCGGGAAGCTGAGACACGCGAAAAGGTGCAAAACAAGATCGCTTCTCTCTCTACGGCTTCGAAGCCTAAGCAAAGCTCAAACTGCGTCTACGTCCGACATTTCCACCTCGACGCACCCTACCGCGCCACGTTCATCCAAAACGACCTCTTCGCTCACGCCCTTGCCCATGCATTCACTTCGGAAGCTGGGGTGGAGAAAGCATACCTGAGGATCAGCAGACTCACCCCCTGGCTTGCTGAGGTGAGCAGGACGATGGGCATGCAGAAGTGTGCTGGCCCGGAGGGGAGCATCGACCTGGAGAAAGACAGCATAGGGAGGGGCCCACAGAGATGGAAGGAGTACTGGGTTGGCGTGGGGAGGAAGGACTGGGAGAAGAGGTTTGAGGAAATAAGGGAACTACATGGGCTTTAAAAGGGCAAGGGACAGGTGTAGCTTGGACGAGAGTGCCTCCCTTCGCCTGGTTCGGTAGGGTGAAATCGATGTACATATTGTCAACCCTGCTGCTTTCTACTCCGTTCCCGGCTCGTTCCATATGGCTGAAGATGTCATCTACTCCTCCACAGAGCCTGGCACTTCCCCCCTGCACACAGCTCGACTTGCTCCTCGTCGCCAACTCTGTTGGGCGTTGAAGGACGACGAGGCGGGCATCCGTAATGCGACGTGTACTTCCGCATGGTGATCGAAGGAGTACTGTATTGATGCCTGATGGCATTTTCTCACTCTTTTCGCCAAAAAAGAGTGAGAGCTAGTCGTTATAGATGGGCAGCGAGAACACTCTGCCGCCAACGCGTTCTTTGTGCCTCTGTCCGTCCCAATCCGTCCCAAGTCTGGTGCGTCGCGCTTCTCTAAACTCGCCGCAGAAATTGGTGAAGAGTTGGGCACGCACGAGAATTTTTCGTATGTGCCCCGAGCAGGAAAGTTCGTAAGAAGACAAGGGATATACGCCTGGGGGAAAACGAAAATGGAAGGCAATGGGTGCCAATTGGGAATGTTCACCATATGTGACGATCAATTGTGATGGTTGGAACCAGACTCGGACATAACATTGGAGTTGTGATGCTTGATATCCTCTTGATACGACTTAACCATGTCTTCGTGATTCGCCATCTCTGATTTCACTTGTTGTAACTCTGTTCCTTGCCGTGACCGAGGTGGGCTTGCATGGGAATCACTCTCGTCCTCGTCTTCTAGATCTGCCGCAGCATCAGGTTCTCCTGTTCCCGACGCGTAGTGTGAATTGCTTGATAGTCGCTCTCCGCATCCTCCCGCCTTCGCGTTGCACGCTGTACCTTCCACTCGAACCATCAAAGGCAGTTTCTTGCCTTTCTTTACGGGCAACACTCATCTCGCAATTCTCATACATCCAACCCTTCTCCGTTCACCTACAGGCGGCGGAACACTACTGTCCTCGTCAGGCGAAGGGATATCTCCCACCTTGCAGCTCGCACTGAAGGAATCGAGGGAGATAACACCGGCCGAGATCGCAGGCCCGCGGGGAGGGAAGGACAGACGCGTACCTCAGTCGGCGTTGTTCCCTGATGGAACAACGACTTTGGATGATGACGTGGAGCTACAGGTGGAAGGTGAGTTCACGGAGTTGGGGATATCAACCCGGATACGAGTGTATCTGACGCCCTTCTTAGCTACGTTGTTGACATCCTATTCAGGGCTCTACGAAATCTCTAAAGCGCAGATCAGCCGTCTATCTGCGTATCTTTACAAGCGCATCCTTTTGAGCACAGAACCAGGACTTCGCGCCCTACCTCTTCTCATCCGACACGAGCGCTCTACTCGAGACACGCGACTTCTGTGAGCGAGAGGTGGTGTTAATCGTCTCTCTTGACCTTCTCATCTAACCCCCTTGCACATCAGCGCCGGCGGATGATCGCTAGAAAGTACCAGGATGGCAGGGGCTCAACTGCGCTTAGCTTACTTCGAGCCTCCCACCCGCCTCTTGTTCTTGATAGAAGAGACGATCGACACTTCCGTCCTTGTGGCAACCTTTCGTCCGCACCGTCTTCTTCTGGCTTCTCATATACAAGAACGACCTCGCTATTGCTGATATTCTTCCGCGTACTGAGGAGCTCAAGGACACCGAAGCGCACTGCATCTTGCTGCTCGATGTGTACACATAAGGGTAACGGAGCCACCTGCATTCACCTCTACATATCTACATTATCGACTAACTATCTATGGAGACAAGGTGGCGATGGGTGGCACCGAGGATTCCCGAGGTTGTCCCGTTCCTTGATCTTGTTGCCCTGAAAGCCGTTGCTTCTTGGCTGCCCTGGGTTTGGATTCATCCGGCGGCCATGATTGCCCATGCGGAGGTTGTGCTCCTACGTCTTCTCCCTCTTCAGGCAGCGGCCTCTTGGTTTTCGCATTCTGGGCTGGAATTGCCGTCTTGATAGCCTCCTCGTTCGTGGCTGGAGCTGTCGTCGTGCCATCTCCAGCCTGAAGTTTTTGCAGTTGGGTCTCCTTCTGCGAATCATACGTGCGGCGGAGTTGCGAATCCTGGGCTTGTTCAGCGTGCACCAATGTGTTCTTCGTCGCTTTGTGCGCAGCCTGGTGCTCGCTTAGGATCACTTGAGCCTGTGCATGATGTTTGACCGCCTCACTGTATTTCTCATTTGCCTGTTCTGCATTGTTGTGGGCGAACTTGTAGTTCGTATCTGTGCTATCTTGTGGTACTTGCGATTTCGCGAAATCCGCTGCCACCTTGTATGAGTCCACTTGTTCAGCCAAATTTTTAACGTAAAGCTCGGCCGCCGCTTGTTTGCCCTTCGTTGCCAGGGTAGCGATTTTCGCACTGTCGGTCTTCTGAAAGGATTTGGCGAGCTCGTCAGGAATCTCGGCGCCATTCTTCTGGTGCGGGGTGTTTGTCTTCTGGCTGCTCGATATACTGGTGAGGGCGAGGGCATTTGGATGTTGGCGGGAAGCATGGCTGATCGGTTGACCGGTGGTCGCCTGCGCTCCAGCCTGAAGTTTTTGCAGTTCGTTGTCCCTATGCCACTTGACCGCCTCGGGGAAGTGCAGCTCCTGGGCTTTCTTAGCGGCCGCATATGAGGTCGCCGGCCCTTCGTCCGCAGCCCGGCGCTCGCTTAGGATCCCTTGAGCCTGTGCATGATGTTTGACCGCCTCACGGTGATTCTCATTTGCCTGTTCTGCATTGTTGTGGGCGAACTCGTAGTTCGTATCTGTGCTATCTTGTGGTACAGAAGGCAAAGGTGGAGACCGAGGACGGAAAGGGGTATGACAGAGGAACAGCCATAACCCCCCACACAGTGCGGAACAAGATCACTTCCCTTGGCACGACTTCCGGCTGCGTCCATGTGCTATCGATGGACCAGGGAGCGGGCTAGAACAGACGGCTGAATATTGGGAAATCCATGAATGGTATCCAATGTGGATCTGGCAAACTATTGATACATTGACAATCAGTTGTGTTTCTCGGACTCGGACGAACTGTGTTCATTGGACCCGGACGCCTTCGCCTTGTTCGCCTTAATGTTTGCAAGCACACCTTCGTGATGCGCCACGTCTGTTTCAGCCTGGTTTGTGTTGGTCTGCGGCGGCGACGACTGCTTCTTGCCGATGTATTTGTTCGTTCAGATCATTCTGCTTCTTTGTCTTCGACCGTGTATTTCGCCCGCATTGCGCATCTTCACGTTTCCTCTTGAGCGTGTCCAGGCGCTTTGCAGCAGTGGCATGATCAGCGACTGCTTTCCCATGCGTACGTTGCGCAGACTCGACGTCCCACTCGGTTGCCCTATGGTGCGTCTCTTCCATCGCATGTGAGGCTTTATCGTACGCTGCCTCCACGGTTGTCAAATGCTCGTGGACCCTTTCGTGCTGCTCCACAGCGTCGTCATGTGCTTGCTTGTTTTCCTCGTGCTTCTTAATCGTCTTTGCCTTCTCGTCTGGGCTTTTGCGCGGATCCCAATTGATCGAATTCTTCTGCAATTCACTGGTCTTGAGACTTGCATCTGCAGCATTGAGCCTTTCTTGGGCATACCGCTCATTGTCGACTGGTCACTGGGTTGCAGCTGGTCCCCAGCTCTCTGGCTGCGTTCAATATAAGGGTAAAACAACCATCCAATGCTTGGCTACGCACATCAGATATCCCTCGTCGACGGTTCCCAACGAAAACGTTTCCAGGATCGGGTGTGCGAAGATCGGGGTCGAGATAAGTGCAAAGAGCACCGATTGTAGACGCATGATAATAGATGTAGAAGGTATGGAGAATAGGATTCAGGTATATGTGCGGCGTTGAGGGAGACGCGATGGAAGAGAGAAGTGATCATAGGAGGTCAAAAGGGAAAGTGTCCAGCACTTTGAAACTAGCTGCCCATCACCGCCTGAGAACAGTGTTATATTATATCTGTGGACATGGGGCAGTACTGTTGACAATGAAGTACAGCCTGAGTGTACCGAATACACAGCATCGAATATCCCCTACTTATTATGAAGCAAATCATGAAGCAAATGGCAAGAAGCCGGGGGCAAAACCAGAGAGCATCCGAGTTTCGTGACACTTTCTACGCACCCGCATAGTGCATAGCGCATAGCTTAGGTAATTTACTTCCATTTGCATCGGCTTCCGCGCCCCATGCTGCCAGGGTCCCAATCTATCCTTTGAGTAGCGGGGGAGGTGCAAACAAAACGTCTAGTATTGGAACAATGACGCCATGCCATGCGCAGCCACAAAGCGGGATCAAATACATCATTCGCGCGAACTTTAAAATGAAACACTTTCAAAAAACAAAACATACCTCGCCCTGCTACTTTACTTCCAAGAAGATATCATCCTTTCTTAGACATTTTGAAACGTAAAAAAGATCAACAAATGCATTATCTATACTCTCAGAAGGTGAGCTACCGAGCGAAGGAAGCTTTTTGTACCTCCATGGAAGCACGGAAGCATTAGGTAAGCGCAGGAGGGGGAAATCCCGTTTGCCCCCATGTCCGCGTCCAGCAAGTGGACCCTGGGTCCACTTGCTGGACGCGGACACGAGGGCAAACGGAGGTATCTTAGTCAGCGTCTATGCGTGCAGAGGGCATAGAAGGTGTCACGAAAGTCGGATGTACTGCAAAACCACGCGCGAACAGCACGTGGTTCACCTCCGCGTGTGAGTAAGGAAATAAAATCCGGACCCTAAGTCCAAATTTGGAAGTGGAACGAAATCTGCTTCCACTGTGGCAGCGCCAGACCCTAGGAGGCTGAGGGTTACTTAATCCTGGCCCTTATTAAACCCTACACCTAACCCATATCCCCTATTAATATTACACATATATATTAGAATACATGCATGCAAAGTACAGCGCACATGATGCATGTCAACTGTAGTGTCAGGTAGACTGAAAAGAAGACTTCAAACCCTAACCCAATAAATATTCTCCCCCTGACCTTTACTATATAAAGCAGCCACTAGAAAAAGGTCACTGAAGAGGGGATAGGGGATGGGACATGAGACATGGGAAATGGGAGACAGAAAATGGGAACTATGTACAAAAGATCCTTGCACCTAAAACAATGAGCAAAGTGAGATGGGCTCCCCTAACTAGCATGTCAGAAGCATGTTCATTCCACGTGGGCACCGCACAGTCCCTGCACAACCCCGACCTTCCACGACGTCGGTCGTAGACCAATACAACAACGATATAGCCCACTTCTTCCTTATCTCGCAACTCGCAGACGTCCAACCCTACACCATTCACCTACAGTCAGGCGACTGCCCAATCTACCGAGACGGCGGCTACGAACCAACCCAGCGGTCCTGCCGCTGAACAACCCCAAAGTCCCGGAAGTAGGAGCACAACGATGCACTACTTCGCACCTCAACAATCTGTCGCCACTGGCGATGAAACGCACCGGTCATCTTCAGGTGAAGGGATGTCCCGCACTCTGCAACTTGCACTGCAGGAATCGAGGGAGATTACACCCATGGGGATCGCAGGTGAAGAGGGAGGGACTGACCGCGTACCCCAATCGGCACTGTTCCCCGATGGAACAAAGAATTTCGATGAGGATGAGGAAGAGATACAAGTCGAGGGCGAGTTGACGGATGTGGACGGTATCAATCCGGAGATGAGTGCGTCTTGCCCTGCGTACAGGGATATATTTGACTGTTAATCTGCGAGCTAGAATTGTCGGATCTCACCGACGCTCAGATCATCCGCCTCACCCAGGACTTGCAAGAAGAAGAAAGTGCTCGCCGTCCACTTATCTCTCCCATAGAGCCGCTCTCGGAGCTAGCAGAAGAATACGCAACGGGGAGTCGGACGGTGGTGGATAAGCTCTCGTACCTAGAGAGGATCGGATGGAGAGGGGTGAGGCGGACAAGGGGCGATGGAGATTGTTTCTATCGGTGTGCGTATACTTGCTCCTGTCGCCGAGATGGAACTGATATAAGGCAGCACTCGCGTTCTCGTATGTTGAGAGACTGCTGCTGGCGCCCGACCCGGCTCTAGCAGTAGCCATGTCGCTCAGTACATTGCAGGAGACGCGTCATCTGCTCGACGAAGCTGGATTCCAGCAGCTTGTCGTACGTCCCTGTCAATATCTCGCTGCGTGGCTCCATGCTCACGCCCAGCATAGTACGAAGACTTCTACGATGTGCTCGTCCGGCTCATCTCGTCTATCATCTCCCCCCCTGGCCCGTATGAGCCCCTTCTTTCCTCCCCTGGCCTCCTCGCAGCGTTCCAAGACGCAGAAACAAGCAACAGCATTGTCGTTTACCTACGCCTCTTGACAAGTGGATACATCAGAGCGCACGAGGAGGAGTTCCTTCCCTACCTGTTCTCACCCGACACGGGCGACCTACTGGACACACGCGACTTCTGCGAACGAGAGGTCGAAGCTTCGGGAAAGGAAGCGGACCATGTGCAAGAGATGGCACTTGCCCGCGCCCTGAATCTCTGTGTTCGGATCGCCTATCTTGATAATAGCCTGGGCGGACAGGGGGCAGAGGGCAAAGTGGACTTTGTGACATTTGAGAGTGAGCAAGAGGGTGGAAATGGGATGCACGAGATTGCACTGCTTTATCGACCGGGGCATTTCGATATTTTGGAAACGAGAGATACGGAGTAAGTGTGGTAGTACGAAGATTAAATGCACGTATGTAATAATAAACGTAAAAAGAAGGAAATGAATACTGCAAAGACTGTTTTCGCCTTGCTGTGGAATGATCGGCGATAAGCGTTCTACGACGGTACGGCTCGAGGGCATTTTCAAGCGTTTAGTTTTCGAATAAAGTGATAGAGACACAGCCATTCAGCAAAGCATGAGGCCCTCCGATGATCTAGAGATTGTTCCAAGCTCGTGTGCAGTGTCATGATATATGGGAACGTTGTTGACGAATGCAATAATGCGAGGGAGCCATTTATAGCACAGAATTCGGCATGTAGCAATACAATGGTTTGATATATCACCCCCATTCAGCATCCCACCAGTCACCCGTTCTGCCCATTGCACGGGCCAGAGAGTGATAACAATGACAAGCCATAATCGCCGAGAAGCTGAAGCATGGTTATGAGCGGTTGCTTCTTGTGCTTCTCTAAGACTGGTTATCACCGATGAAGGGTATCGCCGATGACTTGTTCCCGTCACGACATGCGCACCTGCCCTTTTCCGCCTGGTCCCAAGGCCCATTCCTCGAGCTCTACTTCCTACTTCTTTTTCCATCCAGATTCCAGATATGGCTAGAATATCAGCGTCTAACGTCTCCGTAATACCTATTGCATCCTTGCGCCTTGCGGCAGACGCGTGCGCAACACCGTGATTCGAACATGCCAGCACCTCAACCTCGTCTGTATATGATACCCCGCGCCCTGCGCCCTCCGAAGGTGTGATGTCCTGAAATCCTCATTTGAGACTCACACCTCCGCATACCAATATCTCCTCCAGATCACTCATGGTGGGCATTACAGCAATGCCATCACCTATTCCGCTGGAATGCATAACCTGCAGCATGCGGTGAGGGGCCCGCGTCTTTCGGAGCTGTTTCCGTTCTCAACAATCATCCATGTCGATCCCCTTCCAGAGGACTGGCATGCGACAAGTTGAAGCCAATTTGTAGTCGATGCTTTACCACAGGACGGGAGGTAGAGTTCTGAGATATGCTGCTTTCTGGTTCCTGAGGCTTGTCGTTGTAGTGCAGCTACAACTGGACGTTCAACCGACATATATTTCGGCTCTTTGGCAATGGCCCAAACTTAGGTCTGGATCTCGAGCGAATCCAAAACCTGAGTGATGCTCGAAGTGGAAGCCACGGCCGCGTATACCAAGTGCCTCGGAAGGGTGGTCTTTCCTCAGATTTGGTCGCGGTGAAGGTGCTGCAAAACTTCGGATGGCATCCGGCAAGAGCCCTCCAGGTTGGTCTCCCTCGTTCGAGAACACTTTAACGAAGCATATGAATCGTGTACAGATATGTCTTCGAGAAGCATGGCGATGGTCACAGCTCGATCATCCAAACATCACCCCCCTCCTGGGCTTAGCGAATCTTCGAGAAGTGGCACGAAACGCCCCATTTCAGCTATGTACGGTCGCTCCCTGGGCTACCCACGGCAACATCATGGAATATATTCACAGCGCTGCTTTGAGTCTTCCGGAGATGTTCATCCTCGTAAGTGATAGCTGGAAGGTGACGTATTGACCACAAAATGACCTCCACGAGCTCCGAGATATTGCCGCTGGCCTTGTCTATCTCCATTCGGTTGAACCAACGCCCTTCGTTCACGGCGGTCTGAATGGCGTATGTCTCCCTCAACCCCTTTAGCCATTCTCACTGACCATTCGTCGTCAGAATAACGTCCTCGTGTTCCGCGATCGATCACAATCCCAAGGTCGAATCCGAGCATGTCTCGTAGACTTCGGGCTGTCGGGAATGTGGAACGAAGACGAGTCGACGGTGGATGTCACAGCGATGGCGCTTCGTGGCAATCCTCGTTGGCTTGCATGGGAGCGAGTGGAACCCGCCAAATATGGTATCCCGAACGCCTCACTCTCAATCACCGTGCACAGCGACGTATTCGAAATGATGCGGACTTTCTTCCAGGCAAGCATCGTGTCCACTCTCTAAGCTGAATCGCTGACATCGTCATAGATCTTGACTAAAAATGCCCCATATCACCACTTAACAGACATTGAAGTTTTGGAAAAGGTGTTCCGAGAAGAAAACCCCGCGCGCCCAGAAGAAGGAATTCTAGGAGAACATGACGGCATGTGGACGCTCATGCTCCGTTGCTGGAATAGTCGACCTATGACGCGACTCTCAGCTCGGGACATTGGTGCCATTCTTGACTACTATGTTACTTGCCACCTACTTCAGGTACGTACTCGTCACGAGCCAGGATCGACTTCACCTATCTTTCATGTAGGAAAAGGAGTCTACAATCCAACCCGAATATTCTGCTGGCGTCGATATTGACCTGTCAAGGCTGCCTCAGCAAGTGAGTACGACGCTCACAAAATGTGGCCAGACTGCGACGGGGTCGCTGCTCAGCAGTATCGAGCCTCTGGATATCACATGCTCCGATCTATCACAAGGCCTACCCGTTCGTTCATTATGGTTCGAACCGAAGCTATTCAGACTGTGGCATTCCATTCTACCCACGGCGCGTTGGAGAACATGTGACATCAGGATGAGATCTTACGAGAACATGATATCTGTCCTTCAATGCCTGGCTACACCCGCCCCTAACCTTCTCTCACTCACTTTGATCTTGGAAGATCGAAGTTCAGAAGGGTACTCAGTTTGGCCTTGGAAGAAACGACTGACGCGCCGGTTGCGGACACATGAACCCGTCTTTTCTGGACGTATGCCTCTATTGAAGAGCGCTCGTATTCATCTTCTCCCTATATACTGGACCTGTCCAGCGTGGACCACGAGTATGTTGGAAAATCTCGACGTGCGATATCATCCTGGAGACCTGCGTCCGACAAGAGAGGAATGGGAGTCACTGCTGTATGGTACGCCGGCTCTTCGCAAGCTAACAGTGGTCAACTCCGGACCACAGTTAGAGTCCGGGTTTCCGTATGGGAAGCTCGAAGACGTGGGCGAGAGAGCAGTGTTACTTCCAGCACTAAGAATGCTCCGAATAGGCTGTGTAGCGCCACTCAGTCTCTTGTACCTTCTCTCGTCCATCCAGGCTCCACGTCTAGCCGAACTTTGCATCCATCGACTCCGTGGAGAAGGACACGAGGCAAGCTTCGACCTGCTCAACCACGATCGATACCCAGAACTCGTGTCACTGCGGATTCTCGATGTCCTATGCGACAAGCAAGTTGTCGTCGATGCCTTCCGCCGCCTGCATGGCATCTCCACGCTTCACCTACGTTCAGGAGACCACTATCTCGAAGCACTGACCGAGCACCTCTCCGTGTACAACCTGGGCGACTCCAGCATTCTGCCCCGGCTACGTACGCTCCGTACACACGGTTATACCTGTAAAGAACTCGCCCATTTCTGCAGCGAGCGCGACCGGCTCGGTTCCCTCAGACACACGTTCCAGATCGTTTCCGATCATCAGAAGATCGCGGGCGACCCGGCTTGCGATATGTTTCACGATAACTTGGGGAAGATTATCCGTCTGCAGGAGAAGACGTCCTTTGAATCGTTGGATGAGATACATGATGCAGGGACTGGGGAGACGTGCCCATGCTGTGGGCAATTGCTATGCGGTGCAACAGCAAAGCGGTTCTCTAGGCTCTCAATCGTTAGCCCCAGGTTGTCTTTATCAATTCCTTCGAAGAGGATAACGCCTCATGCCCCCCACAACGGGGTGGACGGACGAGCTGCACTCGTCTAGTTGCGCGTCATACCCTCGACGCTCTGGATACGCAGCTTTGCAAGATGTCAAGCTTTCATTAGTTAGGATGTAGTGGTATCAGTAGCCATGTTTGTACCCATGCACAATTCTGGTTCAAGACGAGCAGAGATATTATCGTTTGGTCTGAGTCAGCGCATGTCCAACACCTTCCTAACCTCCCCCTCCAACCACTCGGCCCTCTGCTCGGTGCCCATCCCGGCCCACCCATGTGCAACGCTTACCACACTCTTCCCATCCCAGCCCAACATCCTGAGCCCCGGGCACGCCCCAGCCACAGCGGTACACAGCCGGGACAGCAGCACGCCGTCTTTAAGCTGGGGAGCGAGCCGGACAGGAGGGCGGTACGTGTCTTCACCATAGGAGGGGAGTCGACCGGGCAATAGTTCGGTAGTGAACATCGCCTCTGCTGCCGAAGCTTCAGATCCATCCACCTGGATGGACGCTTCAGTCTGCCATTCGTCTGCGTCCCCCTCCCCCACGTCCCCAAAATGAGATCCATGCATGCTCGCGTCCAATCCTTCCTCTCCCGCGTGCACATGGTCGTCGTCGTCGTCGTCGCTCTCAGAACCGGAGGTGACGTCCGTTTCTTCCGTATCATCCGCACTGTCTTCTGTGCTCATCCCTCCCTCCTCAGAAACGTCGCTCATATCTTCATCAGGTACAACGCCAAACGCATGCAGCCCATCTCCCCCATCCTCATCATCGTCGCTCTCATCCTCGTCTATCTCGCTCATCTCCCACTCCTCTACCTCCAGCGCCGCCTCCACTCCGAAACACAGTTCCTCTAGCTCAGGCATACATCCCAGCATCCCCTCCTCGACCAGGCGTTCAAACATCTCCACTGGTCTCGGAGCTCGTAATACGAGTTTCCGCAGCCTGATCCTCTTTTCGGGAAAAGGAGTTCCAGACTCCTCCTTGTTCCAGATAGCGTGCCAGTCCAGTTGTTCCGCCTCAGCCTGCCAGACTGCAGCGATCTCGCATTCCCGGAGTGTAGTGCTCTGTCGGAGGAAGAAGAAGAAGTACGTCAATGGGGCCGAGAGCCCCGCATAGGCAGTTTCGACGCGGAGGAGGAGCTCGACCCCGCGCAGCTCGCGTTCTTGGTTGTATGTGTACGCCGCTTGCCACGGCTGGGCAAGGCCGTTCAGAAGAGACGAGGGGGTGACGGGGAGGGTGAAGTCTAGCGAGGTGAGGGCGAGTTCGTCGTCCAGTCCGAAAGAGCCGCCCAGGGCGCGCAGCTTGGGGAACATACACCTCAAAGAAGGGTCGTGGCCCTGTGCGAGGAGCGCAGGGGAGAGCTCGGGATGCAGGAGGAGCAGATCATGCCAGGAAGCGACGAGCTGGGAGAGCTGGTCTAGCGGATCGAGGGGCACTTGGGCGTAGGACCGTCCGGATGTCTTCCAGATATGCCGGACGGAACGATTGCGGAACTCTTGGGAGGTGAGGGTGAGAATGGTGATGTGTGGTGCTGCAAAGGGTTAGAGATGTTGTGGACAGGGAAGGGAGACGTACTGTATTTCCTTAGACGGGTGATATCGTACAGCGTCACATGGAACTGTCCCTGTTCTGCTTCAGTCACTCTCCAACCTAGTCAGATCTAGAACGCTCACTAGCCGAACCCCGCCTTGCCTCCTTCCTGCCTCCACCAGCCGAAGCAAATCTATAACTCGCATAGACTTGTACAGTCGCTGAACAGCGCAGTGGAAGAAGGTGCTGCTTAGGGACAGACATTGTGCTAGGTCGGAGATCGGAAGATGGGATAGAATCAGGGAGAGGATCTCGGGGAGTGTTAGTGGATGGGGGAGGTGGGCCGGGTGGGATGGTTGAGTGACTGCTGTCGTCGTCGTCGTCGTCGCTGGCAGTGAGAAGACCGGCTTGCTCGTCGTTGGCGCGAACATTGTGAACGAGGAGAATGTCGAAGAAAAGTCAGGGTTCTGTTTTTGTACGTTCATTCGACGGATGCAATGCCCGATGACTCAATCAGCCATTCAATATACGAACAATGTCGGTGATATACAACGAATCAATTTGTAGCTTGTAATCCAATCGCTTCTAATACATGCCCAGTACACGCCGATGTCTCGTTCATTTCTCCATCGCAGCCACTTTCCCCTTTGCAAACTCTACAAACTCGTCGATCACAGAAGGCCAAGCCGCTACCCACTTGGCGTCAGATAAGATCACAGCTGCAGCGATAAGCGACAGACGCACCCTCCAGATCATGCATCTTGAACTCGCTATCAATCTGTCTGACGAAGTCTATGAACTGGGCTCATCAGCCTCGCACACGCACACAAGCAAACAGACAAATTCGCACGTTATTCCACACATCCTTAGTCATAGCCTTGACGCTGCTCTTGCCCAAGAACTCCTCCCACCAGGCCCATTCGCGCATCCCAAACCCCGGAGGGCGCTCGCTAGCCAGTGCGCCTTTCTGGCCTAACTGCAGTGCAGGGGGGACCAATAGTGCCTGGTAGGCGAGCGCGCTGTCGAGAGGGAGGACGCGGGAATCGGGGGGTTTTGCAAACCCAAAAGTGGAGAAGTAGACCGCTTTGAAGTATACTGGGTCTGATAGAAGCCTCTGGCGCAGAGAGGGGAGAAGACGCTTGAGCGCATCGACCGACTCGCAACCGAGGGACTGGAGACCGCCTATCCACCCGTCGCGCGTGAACTCGCCTACACCGGGGCACTTGCATTCGTGTGCTATAGCAAGGAGCACCACGTCCTCCGGGGATACATCAAGGTCCTCGCATAGCTTGATCGTGCCGTCTATGCCAATCCTATCCGAGGCGTCTAGGAGGCCTGAGCAGCGGGAGTAATGAGAAAGGGATGGACACACCTTTGTACTTGTCGAACACCTGCCCGAGCTTCTGCGCGCTCGGTAGACTCCCGTGCGCTGGAACGGTAAACCACGCATCGACAGCGGTGTTGATATTCCAATTATACTTCTTGAGGAAGGACATTGCTTCTTTCGGTCTAGCGCGCATTAGCCTGTGCAGGTCCAGGAGGAGGAATGGGTAAGGGACGTACGACGACCCCGTGAGAACTGCGAATTGCTGCGAGAGATCTTCTTGCTGTCCCCTTGGGATCTTAACAGACTTGTAGGGCAAATTCGGCGGTTAGCTTCTGATGTACTGAGCTGCCGAAGTAGGACGCACGGAATTCCGACTCATGGCTGTTGTTGTCGCTCTGTCTTCTGATGATGGTGGTGATACTTTCCGAGGATGGAATATACGAGGTGAGAGGAGTAGGAAAGAGAAGAGAAAGAGGAGGAGGATGAGGAGGGGATGTATGTATGACAGGGCTGTTGGTGTACAGGGTGTGTAGGTGAGGTAGAGGAGGAGGAGGAGGGCAAGCGCATAGGGCGCGTGCCCTGCGGAGTTAGGCGTCGGCGATGCCGAAAAGGGTTCGAGTACGTGACACATTCCACCATGGGCGCTTCTGCCGAACGAAGCAGCGCACGTGTCAAAACAACATGTAACAACACGATTGGACTTGCAAGCTATATTGTTGTGCACCAAATATGTTGAATGAAACACTGCGCTACCTTAGCCTCAATGGTCTAGTCACAAGTTCATAGATTTGTAAAGACTTTACGACAATGATCGTGACACGACGTGTTGTTTTGTCATTGTCATGTACGCTGTTTCGTGCGGCACTACGATGGGAAAGGCTGCTTCCTGCACTGCCGACAAAAAGGTCCGGAGGGCATTCTACATTATCAACGCATACCGGAGGGCATGCCCTGAAATCCGAGGTTATCCTAGATGATATCTCCGATCAGTCTGTACAGTCATGTAATGTCAAACATAGCGCTCTGAACTTCAACCAGCGAAACACCTCAAAATAACCCAGAGGACGTCTCTCTCTCACCCGTAGTTTTTCCCCTCATATGGGTCATCTTCTCCATCCTCTCCTTCCGCATTGAAATCCCCGGTCTCATACGTGCCTCACGTAGCGCTCCACCCAGCAGACCCGCTTGGCTCATCTTCAGCCGCCGCGCATAGCTTAAAGCGCTACGTCCGATGCGCCAGTATGTGAACGACACGAGTCCGATGAGCGGCACGATACAATAGAACGCGACGGGATTTCCCTCCAGCCCAGACAGCAGGTTCATCCCGAAAATGCTGGCGATGATTCCCCCGGCGCTGAATGCTAGCGTAGCCATGGCTACCCGGATTTCGAGATGGAGGAGGCGGTTGCGCGCTGGACGGAATCAGAAACAAAGGTCGTGAATAACTTGGAGGACACA